GTGCCGTTCACAGACACCAGAATGAACGAGTTCACAATAACGTTCATCAGGGAGTAATACAGTACGTTCAGTTCACGTTCGCCCAAAATATGAACGAGTTCATGAACTTTCGTTCAATGAACGCGTTCAGGCACATCACTGCATACTGATATGTAATGTTATGAGGACAAATCCAACCTAATGAAATATATTATTATTACCAGTATTATCTGGTAGTGCAAAAAGTAAGAGGAGTCACAAAGGACATTTTTCTGATGATTATATAGATGATTATTAACTTTACCAAAAACTCAAAGAGCCATGACTAAACCTGCAGTCTATGAGCCAAGAGCTGCACTGAGATCATCATTCAGACTTTCTTTGCCAAGGTTCGGCTAAATACATTTTTTATTTTGAGATGGAGCTCAATTATTTAAAGTCTAAGATTGAAGAAGAATAAAACACAACTGATATAAGGGAATTATTTTCAGTTATTTACCACTTTCCATGTGCTCATGGTCAGATCATCCACACATACAGTCAAATATGTCAATTACTCTCTAGCAGCACAAAATCCAGTCACCAACATCCAAAGACATCTGAAGTATTTAGGAAACTTAAGCACGATCAGAGCTGAAATTAATTAATAGCTTGTCTGTGTCAGTTGTTACTGACCGTCCTTGTTTGTTTCTGGTTCTGCTGCCGGTTTTATTCATAGCATTAAATAAAGTAAAATAGTAAGTACAATATATCCATCACATCAGCTAAGGCTAAACACTCTGAAATATCATGGTAACTTTTGCTGACATGCTAACATGCCAAAGCTGAAAGGTAATTCATCTAATCAAATATAGATTAAAATGCTCCCGTTGGAGCGTAGCTTAGGGGTACAGAAAACATGCATCTCTTGTATCCAGTATAACAGATTATAGGGACCTGTTTTCTAATATAGGACATCTCACATTAATGGCTTTACCTGTTCAGGTATTGGTTCTCAGAAGTATGAGTGATGGTGACTCAGACATAGGTGAATTTTATGCTTTATTCAGACCATGGGCGTAGGTTAGCAGGTTTGCATAGGGACCATAGGGACATGTCCCTACCAAAATGTTGAACTGACCTAATTGTCCCTACCAATAATTTGATGTGAGCAACATGTTTATAATTTAAAATTATAATTATTTTTTGGTGCAGCAGTCGCTTCTTTTCCTCTCACAGCTGCCTGCCTGGTTGCTGCTGCTGCTGCAGCTCCGTCTGAGCGCCTGCCTGTTTCTCCTGCCCCTTTAACGTAGCAGTGCACTGTGCTTCGCTATTTAACTCCACTATCATTGGTTGTTCTGCCTTAAGTTCCGCCTTCTCTGTTTCTGATTGTTTGTTTTTCAGTCTGTGTGTGCTTGGGGCACAAAATTGAAAATGTATTCACGCAAGAATACCGCGGCTACTACAATTAATATTAGGCTACAAAACTAGTCCCAATTAAAAAACCGAATATCTTTCACGCTATAAAACAAAAACCTTTATTTTCTTCTATAAAACTAAATATTCTGAGTCAGGCAGGAGTTCTGAAGACTGCTGGAAAAATGGACAAATAAAGGCTGTAAGCTATCAACATTTCTGATTCTTAGCCACAGCCGACTGAAAAAGGAAATCTGAGGGTTTCCTTTTTCTGATATTCTGATATTTAGTTGCTGTTACTGTTTTCATTTAATGATGACTCTGAAGAAGTTCAGGTATAATTATTTGCTGGTGTTATTTCTTTTATAGAGTATAACAACAAGAGATGGTGCCTAAACATCTGCTATTTTTGTTTAAGAAGCATAATTAGGGTTCCACATAATAATAGTTCTATTTTATTGATTATTTCTATTCCTAGAAATACGATAAAGACAAGAACAAATAGAGGAACATCATTCACATTGATTTCATCTTATATAGATTTCCACACAGTCTATAAGTAAATTAATACAAACATTAATGTGTGGTAAATAATGCTTGATTCTGGCTGTTTATTTTGGATATTATTACATTACAGATAAGATAGTGTTATATTGTCTTTTATAATCCTTAAATGGGATTTTATATTTGAATAAATTTAGGCTTATTCTTAGTTTTGTGCTTTGTAGATAAGAAAATAGACATAAGGAGCTATTTTAACAGTCAGTCAGTAACATAGGATGATATAAAAGATTGTTTCATTTAATCCTTTTATATTAAAAACACACTTTTGTCATGTTTGGCTTCAGTTGCCTAACCCACATGCAGAACACTCCTGAATAAAAGTTCAAATGTTTATTTAGAAGATGGAATACAATGAATAAACAGATCCCAAGGGGAACTCGTCTGGTCACGAGTGGATTCTGAAATGCACACAGAGTTAACAGGTCCAGGACTGGTCACGAGTGGGTTCACTGCAGAGGGGGACAGAGGAGTTAGAGGAGGTCCAGGTAATTTGCAGGATGAGAGTGTGCAGGGCTGTACCTGTACAGGAGTTGAGCTGAGCAGCTGAGGGGGGAACCTTGAGGGTCCAGAGGCTGTCGGCAGGCTGAGGGCTAGGTGGAGGCAGAGCTTGGTTTGAGTGTTGGCAGATTACCGATTTGAGTTTCCCTTCCCGTTTCTTCAGAGAGCGGGCAGGCAGGTCTTTGACGGGAATAGTTCTCCAGGGTTCTTCAGAGAACAGAGAGGCAGATTACCGGCAGATATACTCTTTTGGGTTTCAGGTTTCAGACAGGTTCAATCTAGGAAGCAGAGAGGAGAAAACAGATCAGGTTCAGGTTCTGGTTTTCAGGGAGTCAGAGATTCAGACAGGCAGGTTGGCTCAGGCTTGCTAACCGTAACTGGCAAACACTCTGGCACTGGAGAGAAGTCCTCTGCCTCCTTAAATACAGATCTCCTGATGAGCAGATGAGCGTCAGGTGGTTGCAATCAACTCCGGCTCCAGGAGATCTAGTACGCCCTCTGGTGGAGAAAGTGGACAGACCTCCAGATCCCAACAACTTTTATACATT